AACACGCGTCCGCATTGGATTCACCCCGCCTCCCGTGCAACGCGATTGGTCCGTCTCGCCCGCCAATCCCGTTTCCCCTGCCGGGGAATATCGTAGCGGTGCATAACATACACACACGCGCACGCACACACCGCACACACGTGTGTTACCCTTTCGTAACGGTGGAAGCAACGAGAAGTTTCTCTCCTCGTAACAATATTTTTCGATGATAATAATTATCCTGCTCAAACGCGCACGGGGATAATATTAGATTTTTCCATTTCGCGTTCGAACAACAATCGTTTCGAAAATTTTTCCTAATCCCAAATTTTAATACAGGTTTTATTTGAGAAATTTTAGAAAAAAAAAATATGTCGAACGATATTTTATTATTATTATTATTATTATTATTATTATATAAGATAAATAAAAATAAGTGAGAAGGGTAATATTGTAATTCAAGGGAAATAGCGCCTCGTCCGAAACTCGGCGAAACGAAACGAAGTTAGTTTGATCGATACTCGCGACGAATAAAGTTGGTAAAGCAAACAACGGGCGAACTCGAGTCGGTCGTAAACGTTTATGGGGACGAGTTTTTTCTGCCTGAAGGTTAATAATAATAATGTCGTCGATGTGGAGGCCCGAAGATTACGAGCGACATCGTTCAAACGTAAACAAAACTTGTTCGACCATATACTTTCTTTGAACGCGATAAAAATAATTAAAAAATTTTGCAGGTGAGGAGAGCCACTCACGCGATCGACGTGGACCCGCCGAAAAGCAGGCCTCACGTGATTCTCAACGCAAAAGGATTGCAATTGGAACGCGAGAAGCAATATCGTATCATGAGGGAGAATTTCATCCTTCTGAAGAAATTGCGTGACATAATGAATCGAAAGAAACCCACCGAGAGGAGTTACAGGCTGAAATGGGATGACGAAACGAGGTGTATCAGAACTCGTTAATATTTTTCTATCACTCTCTTCATCTCGTTCGCTCGAATTTTATATTATATCACATACAAAAATAAATTCATTCGCTCGCGACTCGTTTCTATTTTTTTTTATTTTCATTTATCGGCGAAAAAACAAGTGAACGAGAATCTTTTATCCTCTGTTCTAAAAGCCTACCTACGATCGTGAAAAGGGGAAAAGAAAAGGTTAATTATAATATCCGTTTTCCTCTTAACGAAGGAAGGGAAAAATTTGATCGAAATGGAGGGGGAAGAGGAGGAAAAGGGAGAGGCCGACGACTTGTATATCGAACCATTGCCATCCACCTTCGAGGATATAACAAATGTTTTGACACAGACGGAGGCTGGTGAGTGCCTTCACACGTTGGGAAAATGCGAATCCGGGCTTGGCTACGCTTATCTCGGCCTGAACGCGTCCAACAGGGACTTGACGGACATAAGGATTATACCGATGTTCAAATACGTGCTCTACGTGAACGTCTCCGGAAATAGATTGACTAACGAGGCTCTTCGCGTTCTCTCGTCCATGAAATATCTTCTGATGCTTCAAGCTGATAAAAATCAAGTGGAATCCGCAGAATTGGATCCCATGCCTTATCTTCAGGTTGATATAAATCACATATAATAAATCTTTTCATTAAAAGAAAAAAAAAAAAGAAATAATTTTTCATCTCGCGCGCAAATATAGAATTACTTTTTTTTTTCTTTTTTTTTTTTTTTTTCTCTCTACTTTACTTTATAGGTTTTAACATTGAACAATAACAAATTGAACAGCACATCGGGCATCTCCCATAAGTTTCTCGAATGTCTGGAATTGAATCACAATAACATAGAGGAGATCACTTTGAACCCGTACGAACTCGAGAACTTGAAGACTCTTGAAATCGGTGGAAACATTCTTACTACGACGAGCGGTATATTCTTTCCGGGATTGATACGATTGTATCTAGGGGAGAATCAAATAGAAAAGTTGGAAGGATTAGAGATATTGGTCAATTTGAAAATTCTACATCTGAGAAGCAACAAGATATCGAATCTGTCCGGATTTGACGCGCGATGCGCCAAACTTAATTATCTGAATCTACGAAACAACGAGATAACAAAAATTTCTGAATTGGAGAAATTAAGCTGCTTGCCGGCATTGGAAACGCTGATCGTTATGGAGAATCCCGTGATAGGTGAGAGAGAAATGGAAGAAGAAGCTGCTTATAGGCAAATTATTTTGGCTATGTTACCCAATTTGACGCGAATCGACAAGGATCCAGTGTTATACGATGAAAAGAAAGAGGCTAAAGAGTTTCGTAGACAAATGCTTCAAGATGGGACAACTTTCGCTGATCTGGATTATACTTTCTTGACCATGGGATGAAACTAATCATATTTGTTATATTCCTTATCAAATTATTAATAATTAAATTTCGATATATGTAGAACTTTAAACGATAGAAATTAAGGAAAAAGGTTCACTTGGATCGTTTCTTTAGAAATGAAAGTTTGCGGAATAATGATAAACAAGGAGAGTAGATAATGAAAGAAGGACAGAGATAAAGTAAAAATTAGGGAATTAGCGCCATCTGTAGAGTGCCGAAAATGAAACTCATAGTAGACAAGGAAAGCAAATTAGAATTGACCTTCAGTACCATCTTTTGATTATTAGAAACAACTTCGAAAAATTAATGTTTTTGAAAGTACTCAAGAGATGGCGTTGAGTCTCAATTCTTATTCTAACTTATCCTATCTAAAAAAAGATATTTTTAGCATTCAAGAGATGGCATTGATAGTTAATTCTTATTTATTTATTGACATATTGAGTTTCATTTGCGGCATTCTAAAGATGGCGCTGATTCCCTAATTTTTATTCTATCTTTATCCTTCTTCCACTATTTACTTTCCTTGTCTATCTTTAGTTTTGATGCGATTATAGATTAAGATATGAGATGTTATACTTTCATCGTTTTTGTTTCGAATATATCTTAATTTTTAAAATAAAAAAAAATAGATATATTCTAGTTTTTATGATGTATCTTTGGATAATAATCTCGCAAAATATTGCCTGATAATTAATGCAAGTGTTTTGATACGATTTCGTTTGTGTTGAGATACAAACGGAAACTTAATCCAGCAATAAATAGAAAACAATTTTTAATTATTTTATTAAAAAATAACAATATCGAAAATTCATTTGTCACATTTAATTTTCCATTATTTGTAATATTCTAAAATATTCCTAAAATATGTTGTTACAATATTATAACATAAATTATTTTTATTAAATTTATTAATCTTAGAAGTAATTTATTAATAAATATAATAATTTATGTATTGTATTTTTATATTTATTCCTTTTCTTCTTTTTATAAAAATATTTAGATATTTTATTCTCCCGCTAAAATTCAAAACTTACTCACGTGATCAATAAATAGTTACGATCCCTAGCGGAGTTTGTTAAAATAAGATTGTAACATGTTTCCTAAAAGTAGTTATACTGCAGCTTGCCGGTGGAAACATATAGGATTTGTTTATTAATCGTTTATCTATAATTCAAGTTCTGTAATTATCTCTATCATTTTATAATAGTTATTTCTTTTAAAAAAATGTCTTCCAAACCTGCATTTAAAGTTGGTAAGTTATAATGATGTTATCAGTTTTGGAGTTATATTAGTCAGACACGTGTTTATTATTTTGGAGTAACTTCGTTTTCTAATGATAAAAACTTATTATTTTAAAAATCATACTGATAGAATTTAATATAATAAAATATTATAAAAAAAATGTTAAATCATCATTGATAAAATAATGTACTATCAGTGATTAACCTATATGATTGAATTTTTACTAAATTATAATTAATTTATTGGTTCTTATTGTATAAATAGAATGATGACAGGATAAAATATAAAAAAACTTTGTTTTCATTTGATTGAAAAACTTGAAACATTTAAAAATATCATAAAATGAAGTTGACTCCAATATTTCATGAATTATTGAACAGAGATTTTCGATTAATAAAATCATTTTTATAATTATAGCCGATTTGACATTGGCGGAATGGGGACGAAAAGAAATTATTTTAGCAGAACAAGAGATGCCTGGTCTTATGGCTATCAGAAAGAAATATGGTCCTCAAAAAATTTTAAAAGGCGCACGAATTGCCGGTTGCTTACACATGACAGTGCAAACTGCGGTTCTTATTGAAACTCTCATTGAATTAGGAGCTGAGGTTCGTTCGATGTATTTTATTATTATTGTTTGCATTTTATACTTTAAATTTTTTATCTTTTTCTATTTCTAATTTTAATCAAAGCAAAATTTGATACTTATAAATTACTCCATCTTCAAATCATTTATGATGTATTTTCTATTTGTACTAATATTGACAAATGAAAAGTATGTGATATTAAAATTTATGAAAATTAAATGATATAAAACAAAATATCATTTATGATTAAAGATGTTCTTTGAAAGAAATACGAATTTAAATTGCGATATATCATATATTAGAGAAAATTATGTGTATCATGTATCTAAAAATATTTCTCTTGCCCTTATGCCATTCCGAGATTTTTTTATTAGATATTCAGAATACGAGAGAAAAAGATTAAAAATACGCATTTATGTATACAGATTCGTGTCATAGATAATGATTTTACGTTATTGTAACATTCATCGACAATTGTATCGGAAAGTTTTTCAAATCATAATCTTAGATCAAATGTTAACATTATGAAACATAATACACTTTTACATTTATTTAAAATTTGAAATAGAAGATACATATCTTAAACTTTTACGCAATAAAAACATAATATTAATAATCTCTTTTAAAGAATTCGGTTTTTATTATCAGTATGATTAATTAAAAAAAAAAAAGAAAATAAAATAATTATAAATAAAAAATATAAGAAAATGAAATTTAATATATCGAAATTTAATCTGAAAAGATAAATTGTTAATATATTGTATTACGAAATATATTAATTTTATCTTAACACATGAAACACATCAAACACTTTAATATCTTTAATAATAAATTTTACTGATCTATTATTGCTATTATATCGATAGGTTCAATGGTCCTCGTGTAATATATTCAGCACACAAGATCATGCAGCTGCTGCTATCGCGAAGGCAGGAATTCCCGTATATGCTTGGAAAGGCGAAACCGATGAAGAATATATATGGTGTATAGAACAAACTCTACTATTTAAAGATGGAAAACCATTAAACTTGATTCTAGATGATGGTGGAGATTTGACTAACTTGGTGCACGACAAATTTCCGAAATATCTTAAGGAATGCCGAGGTATTTCTGAAGAAACTACAACCGGTGTGCATAACCTGTATCGCATGATGAAAGAAGGCACTTTGAAAGTTCCTGCGATAAATGTGAACGATTCAGTAACGAAGGTTTGTTATATTTTATTTAAAAAAACAGAAAGAGTATTTTTCTTAAAAGAAAAAAAAAGAAACCGTTAAATTATTGCAAAATAAACTTCATTAAAAAAATATGTAGTAGAATTAAATAAGTTTAAATCCATCTAGTTTTTAATGTATTATAGTTTTAATAATTTTTAATACTTTTTATCGAATAGAGTAAGTTCGATAATCTTTATGGATGCAGAGAATCCTTGATCGATGGTATTAAACGAGCGACAGATATTATGATCGCTGGTAAGATCTGTGTAGTTGCTGGATATGGAGATGTTGGAAAGGGTTGTGCCCAGAGTCTTAAGGCATTTGGTGGACGTGTAATAATTACAGAAATTGATCCCATTAATGCATTACAAGCAGCTATGGAAGGATATGAGGTGATTGAAAGCTTAATAAGTCAGAATCTAATTATAAAATATAAAATATTTAAATATAATTTAAATATTTAAATATAAAATATAAAAATATAAAATATAAAATATAATTAAATCATTAATTAAGAATTTTAATAAAAATCGATGAATTTTTAATATAATATAATTTTTAATATAAAATTTTAACGTCAACAGGTAACGACAATGGATGAAGCATCACGAAAAGGACACATTTATGTTACCAGTACTGGTTGCAAACATATTATAACGAGCAATCACTTTCTAAATATGCCAGAAGATGCTATAATTTGCAATATTGGCCATTTCGATTGCGAAATCGATGTTACATGGCTTAAACAAAATGCTATTGAAAAAGTAAACATTAAGCCACAAGTAGATAGATATCAATTGAAAAATAAAAGGTACATTAATAGTTTTACATTTAGAATTTAACTAATCAAAATAATTTCTATATTATTAAATTATATATCATAAAATTATTCAAAGAAAAACATTCATATTTCATTTCTCGATAGTTAAATACATTCTTTCTCTAATGAATCCAAAGGAAATGCCGATAAGAAAATTTTAAAAGTTGATATCGAATATTTCATTTTTGATTTAAATGTCTAATGATATCACATTGGTAATAAATCACAAATTAGTAACGATGAGCAAGATAGAAGTGATTCTCAAACATTTATTTATAAACTAAAACTTATTTTCGATTTATAGTTATTTTATAATAATAAATAATAATTTATAATAATAAATAAATAATAAATTTCGCTTACATATATAAATGAAAAATTTTAAAAGATATAAAAAATAAAAAAGTTAAAATATGTATTATAATAATTATAATTTATAAATGTTTGGGAACCACTATTTCTTAGTAATTCGATCCAATGTTACGTGACACCGAAGATATTTAAATGACAAAACATTCGATATCGACTTTTGAGATTTTCTTTGGTTTCAATAGTGAGAGAATTATCTTATATATATTTTTATTAATCGGTTTCGTGACACTTTTAAATCACATTTTATTCATCATTTTCAGACATATTATCCTCCTTGCAGAAGGTCGATTAGTTAATCTTGGATGTGCTACAGGACATTCCAGTTTCGTGATGAGCAATTCATTTTCGAATCAAGTTTTGGCACAAATAGAATTATGGACCAAATCTAAATCTTATCCTATTGGAGTTTATATGCTACCAAAGAAATTAGATGAAGAAGTTGCTTCATTGCATTTAGATCATCTTGGTGTGAAGTTGACCAAATTAACAGAAGATCAAGCCAAATATATTGGTGTACCTAAGGAAGGCCCTTATAAAGCTGATTATTATCGATATTAGTTACTATTTAAATTCAAAGGCTCTGATGTACTTTTTTTTGTATAATACAAATAATAAGAATGCGATGTTTTAATATAAATCAATTATTGATCTTTATAATTATTCATTCATTGTTTTCAATATAGATATCTTTTATGTAAAAAATTTATGTAAAAAATATCGTTTTTTAAGTAAAGTTATCTTGTTTAATCATTTTTGTATAAATGACAAAGAAAAAAGTTCTTCTAATTTCACTAGAAGTTAGTTTTTTGATAAAGGTAATAATATATAAAATAAAAGATTAAAATATTTTATTATATATAAAATAATTAATTATTAGTTAAATTAAATGGTCTTGCCTAATTTGGCGTAATTTACGATTTCTTTAAACAAAAAAAATATACTGTATTGGAAAAATTGTTACAAAATAGAAAAAAGACTTATTAGAGAAG